TTTGATCTTCAAAGGTATACTGAAGTCCGCAGGGACTGCCATATCAATAAGGATGCACTTATTTTGTTTACGGTCTCTAATAACAATGTCTGGCCGGTTGGCCTTGAGTGTTCTGCCTGTATGTATTGTGTAGTCCCATAGAATTGTAACAGGTCCTATCTCCGTAAGCGGGTCTGGATGGTGTTCATACAAGTTTCTTTTAGTTTCCTTCCCGTAGAAGTTGCATATTTTCCAGTGCAGATATTGGCCCACTCTGTCATGCCGGGTTTTATATTCAATGGATGCTAATACCGTGCAACCTGATACAAGATGATCAATTGTTTCTGGATATTTATTATAGAATCTGCATTTTGAACTAACACAATATTTTAGTATGTGTGATTGATAATTTCTAGTTGACAAGCATTGATCCTGTGCAGCAAGAATAAAACACTCAGTTTTAGCTTTTAACCCTGCTCTACGTAGCCACTGATGGGTACAGGGTTTGTCCACATCAGCTAATTTGGTACGGACAGTGTATCGGCCATGAAGCGGTTTATCTTGCCATTGTTTCTGGTCGGTTGCATTTATATTTGTTCTCTCTTTTTTTATGTATTTTGCAGCTTCAGTCGGTGTATTGTGCTTTACTTGTATTTCTGCAACCATTGGAAACTCCATTTTGAACTTGTTGGCTTCTTTTATTACTGAATACAGACGCTTACTACTTTCATGTTCTTTGACACATATTATCATCCAGTCTTCTGTAGTTTCCAGGTATCTGTGAAGGCCAATTGTTTTAGTTTATTATTATTATTATTATTATTATTATTATTATTATTATTTGCTTTGATTTCTGGTGTGTACACATTTCGTTCCAGGTCCCACCCAGAGACATAAGGTTAGAAATGGAATAATGACATTTTCATTGACACAAGTAAATTTTGTGTATTTATTTAAGGCATGGACTTCCAGGAATCCCTTCAATTAGATTACTGGAATCTTTTCCAATCAATCTGAGGGCTCCAACTGCAACAGGGATAGTTGATATACCCATTATTATTATTATTATTATTAAAACAACAATAACAACAGCAACAACAACAACAATAATACCAAAACACGAAAAAGAACGGAAGTGATTATTTGTTATTTCACAAAGTGCAATATTTTTGCTTATAAATTAGATTTAGAAACTGAATTTTTTCGGAAGGTTCTGACCGAGAATGGTTACGCTTTGTATATTGTGGCGTCCAGTTTTGGGGAAACAATGTAATAATTTCGTAAGCCAAGACTCCAGAAGTGTCCTTTTATTTGGGTTTATCGTGGATTGGTGAGGTGAGTGAAAGATTTGTAAGAAGTCTGGATTTTCTCTCCCAATCCACCAATTGTTTATGGTGTTTGAAACCTATTTTGAAATTAATTTAGAAGGATGTTCTGCTTATCTATCATATTAGTTCTGGAATTTACAAATTCAGATGTCAGTGCGATGCTGACGATGATGCAGGCAGAACAGGTTAATAGTTTAAGACGCGGGTTAATTAACACTTTTCAGTCAGTATTCGCAAGGGGAAAAGTGGACAATTTACATCGGTGCATTAATATATCAGATTCAGCTGAACATTTGATTAAAAACCAGCAGTTTGCTCGGTCCTATTGCCCGGATCTGTTCTCAGAGTCGAATGAGGCTGATACCGATAATCACCTGAAGGCTTTGGAATCAATATAGAGGGTGTGTCCTACCCTGAAAAAAGAATCTATATCATTTTATAGTCTAATAACATAGACAGTTCTTGCTCAAATGTTCTCAAATTTGAAGCGTTAGGGTCCCAGCTATGGGTAAATAGTTAACCCCCAAACTGGGGTCAAAACGCTATGAAAGTTTAAAAAATACATTTTTATAGTAAAAATACCAGCAATATTTTTGCATAGTAAAAAAAATTACCAGCAATATATTTTTGTAAGAAAGAATAAATTTACTGTAGTAAAAACAGAACCAATGAATAAACTTATACCAAAGCTTTACTGCACTTTACTCTAACTACTCGTCTACTGACGGGTTAAAAGAGTGCTTATTATACCTCCTACATCTTAAGGGGAGGTAACTGATGATTTATCGGTACATTTTCCAGCAATATATTTTTTGTAAAAAAAGAAAAAATACCAGCAATACATTTTTCCAAAGAAATCACTCCCAAGAAAATTAATTTCGGCATTAAATGACCCATAAGCAGTTGATATGCCGCTGTATTCGACATATGAGGGTTAATCAGCTCATTTCCTAGGAACAGACAGCCAGACACCAGCACGTGATTTCATTATAGTCGTGAAGGTTTTTGTGCAGAATCATCCACACTTTTTGAAGGGCCGAATTCAGAGACCTGGCGCACAACGTACCACAAGGTCCCCAAAAGATCCTCCGCAGGTTTTGAATTCAGAGTGGTCATTCTCTTAGAACAGTTGTCATCCAAGGCTATAGAACCCAGTCTGTCCTGCTATTTATCCATAGCTGGAGGGAGAAGAAGAGGATTCATACCATTCCAAGATATATATATATATATATATATATATATATATATATATATATATATATATTCAACAATTATAACATAAGCATCTTATAACATCAGAAAACTAGCTATTTTGTTTCAACACGTCTGGTGTCTTGTCAAGTGATGGTGTTGATTTCAAAATAAAGAGTTTTAAAAAGTTCAAAACCAACAAAACCCCGCTCAATTGGGGAAACATTGTTATAAGCTATAATGACCACGATATATATATATATATATATATATATATATATATATATATATATATATATATATATATATATAATTGGTCATTATAGCTTATATATAAAAGTGAACATTGAAGTCAACACTCAGAGGCGACAGGCTGTTTCATGCTAAACGCAATCGTCAGGCCTGTCTTCAATGTTCACTTTTATATTTATATACGGTCTATCTCTGATATTGAGCACTTTATCCCATAAATATAGCACACCTTAAGACTATATTTCATTCATATATATATATATATATATATATATATATATATATATATATATATACAGGATGTTCCTTGAAAATGCAAATATACATGTCCCAAACAAACAAAATTAAATAGGCTTCATATTGAACATTAAACGATTTATTTATCAAAATCCGAACAAGATATTCAAAGGGATGGAGATTTTATAACCATTTTCACAAAGCTTCCCAAATGTGTAATATGCGCACCACCTGTGACCTGACACATGTCAAGTCGGCAGCCCAGCTCCTGCCAAACACGCTGTAGCATGTCTTGCATAACATTCACCAGCACCTCAGTAATTCTCTGCTTAAGTTCCTATAGGCTTGTATAAAGAAGGGGGATATAGACCTGTCCTTTCACATAGAAAAAAATCACAAGGTGTCAAGCCAGGTGAACGTCGTGGCCATTTCAACAGCGTATTGTCATTATCACTGTTACGCTTGATCTATTTTCCTGGTAGATTGTCATTGAGATAAGTCCGCGTAGTCAACTTAGTTTTTACACATTTGAGATCATTTGAGCAAGAATTGACTATGTTGTTAGACTGCAAAATAATGTCAATTTTTTGAGGGGTCACCCATGTATATATTTTTGAGGGGTCACCCTTGTATATATTTTTGTTACACCCACTTTTTGTTATGAATGATTTTTTTTTTTAAATATGTCCGCTTTTATTGCCGTAATAAAATGTTGTACTCCTGCGAAAATCTTTTTATCGTTAATGTTTCCTTTATTTTTACAGTGCATTTGCTAAATTTGAACTGCCAATCCTTTTGTTGGACACGCGAGCCAATCGTGAGTTCAACAAACAATCGAAACTTATGGGCGTGAAGAAAATAATAGAAAAAGACTGAAAGGAAGTCGATCGCTATGTTTCTCGTTGCTCTCTTTTGATAATCGATTTTACAGTAATTATCGAAATGAACGGTCAGTCGTGGTTGAAAGCATTGCGGGGTGATGTCGCTAATAATGGAATTCAATGTCTTCTTCAATCTTACATTGATGCAAGGTCTTCGCACCGTATTGCTCTTCCTTTCTCTGTCAACATTATTCTCTCTCTCTCTCTCTCTCTCTCTCTCTCTGTGTGTTTTGTTCTATTTCTTTCGCCCTCTCTCTGCTTTCTTAACTCTTTCTCTGTCTGATTTTTTTCTTTTCTTTTATCTTTCTATCTCTCTCTCTCTGTTTTATTCTATTTCTTTCTCCCTCTCTTCGCTTTGTTTTCTTTCTTTTTCTCTTTCTCTTTTTTTTTTTTTTCGTTTCACTTCTCTCTCTGTCTCTCTTTCTCTAATCTCTTCTGTTTTCTTAACTTCCGGTTAGAGTCTGGACATGAATTGTTCAATGTCTTCTGAGAGTTTTTGGCTTTCATTATCAAAAAAATGAGTTGGGTTTTGATTAATTCATTTTTTACGGCTTATCAATCTTTTTGCAGGTTATTTAAAGCCAGAATTTTTTTTAGATTGCAAGAATAATAATGGTTTAGTGATACAAGTCTTACTAATTAACCTATAGCTGAGGGGAGAAGAGGTGTATTCATACCTAATCAGAATTTGATAAACAAGCAAGAAATTATAATGTGGATATAAAGTGGGGGTCAATTCTATATTACAATCACTATATAAATTGATCCATCACTTTGTGGCCATTGTAGTTTCTATACATTTACATTCCAGAGAATATAAATAAATCTAAAAGCCATGCCTGTGTAGCTAATCAGTATTTCATTGATTCATTCATTTTCTACGGTTTATCAACCCTTTGCAGGTTATTTAAAGCCAGAAAATATTTTTTGGATTGTAAGAATTTGGGAGGGGATAATAATGCTTTTAGAGATACAGGTCTTACTAATTGACCCATAGCTGGGGGAGAAGATGCGGATTCATATATATTCCCATAGTATTTGTGTTAATATAAGGAACACAACGGGAACTGTAACTCACCTCTCCGATTAACAATTTTAAGAAATTATCCATTACACCAGCCACACATCCAAGATTACAGTACCTGGTATTCCAAAGCGGTCACCCATCTAGGTACTGACCAGGCTCAACGTTGCTTAACTTCGGTAATCGTATGGGTACTGGTATTTCAACGTGAAATGACTGTAAGCCCTTTATACCACCCGCAAATGCAGGTCTACAGCATCCTGTATTCCCAAATGGACGCCTATCTAGTTACTGACCAGGCTCGACGTTGCTTAACTTTGGTGCGGAAAGCAGTGTTTCATCGTGATGTGACCGTAAGCCTAGGTGCGTTTGTATGATCTTTCTGTCAGTATACATCGTTTCTTTACTTGCTTTTCAGTACCACGTTTTCAAGTCTTATATTTCTTTGTTAGTTGTAAAATATATTTAATATGATTATTCCTAAACAGAATGAAATGTTATTAATTATGCGTTGTTTGTCTTTTACGGTTAAGATTTCTAATATTTTTAGTCGTTTTTTAGATTTTGCAGAGTATAACATTTAACATTTATTTAACGATAAGTGTTCATCGGATTTCTAGGATTTTGTTTTTGTGTTGGTTAGTGATGCAATAGGGTTAGTTATAGATAAAGGGCAAGTTAGCCGACGAGATAATGTAGTGATTTTGTAACCAATGTATATGTTTGGATTTTTATTATTATTATTATTAGATAGATATTGTTTATTTAAAATTATGATTCCAACACGCTACATAAGAGGTCTCATGTTTCAAAATAAGAGCCGAAAACTTCAATATAATTATTTGAATTAAATTGAATTAAAGTAAGCTCTGTTCCATCTTTTAAGAAAATATATATATATATATATATATATATATATATATATATATATATATATATATTTCGGCCTTTGTGCCACATCTAAGCTATGCTTGGAAAATCACTATATGAGCTCGCTTATAATTTTTTCTTTTAGTTTGTGTTTATCGTGTAATTGATTTATGAAATTATTTGAATTATTATTATTACTATTATTAGCTCAGGCTGTATTTCAATGTGTCCGTCGTCACAAGCTAAAGAAATATTTTTTCGAAAAAAATGGTGGCGAAAGTTCTACAAAGTTTACAGCCAAAGACTATAAACATAGTGGTCGAATCTGGCATAATTGGGTTAATAAAAATCTATCTGCTATTCAGGGAAAGTTCGAGAGGGACGCTCACAGTCTTCAGTAGAATTTAGGGAAATCAAAACATAACAAAACCTGGAATAGACTTAGCACTTCTCTCATAACGTCTTGCCATTGATGATCCAATTGTCACAAAAATGGCAGACAACGGAGACGCTATTGTTATTATGAATAAGGAAAATTATATTTCGGCGTCTAAAGATGTTTCAAGAGACAAAAGTTTTTTTTTTTTATGATGGAGTAAAAATAGAGCCGAAACCTTATTACAGAAAAAAGCTAGACAATAATTTTTAAAATGAAAGGAAACAGTTTTATCAATGAAACAGAATTTAACATATTACGTTCAGAGCAAGAAACACCAATGTTTTACAGCCTTCCAAAAATACATGAGAAATCTGATAAATAAATTTCCTTCACTACGCCCTATTTGTAGTGGATATGAATGTTGCACGGTAAAAATCTCCGAGTGGCTTTTTCTTTTCTAAAATCGTGCTCTTCTCTTTTAATTATTATCGTTATAATTATTATTATTATTATTTGATTTGATTTGATTTCTTAGGTATATCCATTACTTTACGAGTCCCAACCAGAGATCTAAGGTCAAAAATGCCATCATGACATTTTCCATTGAACATTTAAAAAAAGAAAACAAACCCAAGGTCGGGCATACTGCACATAGATAAAGCCTTGCGTAAAGTGTGGACCCTACTTGCTAGAACATATTTTTTGTATTTCTTTAAGGCATGGGCTACCAGAAATCCCTTCAATGAGTCTATTGGAATCCTTTCCAATCAATCTGAGGACTGCAACTATAACTGGAATTGTTGATGTCCTCATGCGTCACATTCTTGAGATTACGATTTCATGGTTGTTGTATTTTGGTAGTTTTTTTTAATAAAAAGGTACATTCTGTTTTTGTGGTCCCTAATCACGATGTCTGAGCGGTTAGCTTTGTTTGTTCTGTCTGTGTGTATTTTAAAGTCCCATAAAATTGTTACAGGTCCTATATCTCTAACCGGGTTTGGTTATTATTATTATTATTATTATTATTAAATATTTATTTTATTATTTGTATTATTGTACTTTATTTTTCTAAAGTTAATTTGATAATAACTTTTGGAAGCCTAGAGGGCTCAGAAAAACATGGTCCGAAACTGAAGAAAAATAAATAAATAAACCTTTTTAAAAAATGTGTTTTTTTCGCTACACAGTTCTAACGATGTTTCAAAAATGGAAGCTAAAACTTCGAATTTAATTTTGTAATTAAATTAAAGACATTAGTCTCATTTCATCCTCAAAAAATTCGCTTAGGGATGAAATGGAACTAATGTCTTTAATTTAATTACAAAATTAAATTCGAAGTTTTAGCTTCCCTTTTCGAAACATGGTTAGAACTGTGTAGCGAAAAAAAATATATATTAAATCAATTAATTTATTATATATATATATATATATATATATATATATATATATATATATATATATACCAAACATGCTGACCATGTGTAGAATTTAAAAGAAAAAAAAACAGGGATCCCATTGTAAGAAGTAAAATTAAAAAAAAAACTTACAGCAATCACATCAATATTTGCGACCTCTGCCAACAGGAAAGATGAGTAATAACGACATTTCTGGATCCAAAGAAACTTTTGAACCAGAATCCCGAAGTCTTTAGTCATTGCATACATATTAAGAAATTCCTCTCATCGCATATGAGGCTGGATAAATAAAAGTAAATTTCAATTCCCCCCTTTCCACCGTTACTTTTATAATACCTTTGCTTTTCTTCTCTTTCCTCTTCTTCTTCGTTCTTCACACCATCCTCCTCCCTTTTTATTACACCCAACGTCGGGCGTTTGTTTATTTAAAGTTGAAACCAAGGTAGAGGATTCAACTGATCTCCCAATTTTTAAAGTATAGGTTGCTATTTCTTTCTGCGGTAGACCAGTTGCCATCCAAGGCTATAGAATCCGGTCTGTCCTGCTATTTACCCATAGCTGGTAGGGTGGGGGTGTAAAGCAGAGGATTCATACCTTTCCCAAGGGTATTAGCACGTAAGTGAATGTAATGGATCTGACTGGAATTCGAACTTGGCTCTCCGATTTCTAAATCCGAGCCGCTATCCATTACTCCACCGTGCTTTGTAAGACGTAATGAATCAATAGCCTACATGGAGACTTGAACCCCAGACCCTCAGATTACTGGGTTTTTGAATTATTTCTTAAAAGTCTGATTAACAAATAGACATATTATGCCATACTGTTAGCACGACTCAGAGTTTTATTCCAAACACAATCATTATTTATTCATATATATACTTTACAGTTCTGTTATATAACACCGAGAACTGTTTCAACAACACCAACAATGTACAATTCATATGTGTGTATATATATATATATATATATATATATATATTTTCTGTTAAGTGGGATGACAATAAATAATTCATGAAGATGTTGCTTGTTGCGAGGGAGAGCGTGCGATCTGCGAAACAATTATTTTCGACACAATACCATACAATAATTATCTTAATTCATCGAAATGCCGAAGTAGTCGTTATCCATTAGGCTCCGTGCGCGTCCCGCATTTGATTTAACCGCTGCTAAATTATTTCAGCCCTGCAGTTTTGCATCCTCTTCACCCAATTCTGAACCGTTACGAAGTGGCTCAGGTGCTCCCGAAGCGAAGAATCGACTTCGAGGAGTCTTTTCGCAGCGACAAAAAAAAAAAAAAAAAACGCTTTCTGCGGGACATGAAAGGTATCGACTATTTCTGGCGTTTCTTTGAAAGGCGACATAGGCAGGCATTCTGTAACAGTGTTGAACGAGTGCTAGCATTCCTTTCTTAATGTTGGGCCCTTCACACAATGGATTTTTTTTTCTCTCGGTGTAATTATGCTTGTTGAGAGTGTAGCTATCAGTCTGGCAGGAGGTAAATCTTTTTTTTCTGTTTGTTATTTTTTTAAAAATATTTTTCATCTTTTCTTTGCCATTTTTTTTCTTTTCTTTTCTTTGCCATTTTTTTCTTTTCCTTCGGAATCTGAAGATGTTGCAATACATAGAGGGAAGGTATGCCGAGAGAACGTCAGGACAGAATGTAGCGAAAGCATACGCGGTGAAATGTCGATTAATACGCTGCTCTTACAAGCCGTTGACAGCGACCTCCATCCTAACCGCATATTTAAGAAACGTGTCTTTGTGCCCACGTTAGCCATGTCGAGCTATTGAACTTGCCAGAAAGATTGTTCTAGTTTTTTTTCATTATATATCACTAAGCGTTTACTCTGAACTCTTATTAATTTTTTTTTTTTTTTGTCATATCGCCATTTTTTCTTTCGGTAAAATATAAAAGCGGTACATTTTAAATAGACTGGTAAAATAAAAGAATATGGATAACTATTTGCATTATTTACATTGGTCGGACTATTGTCCTCATATTCACAACGTTTTGGCCATTGTATTCTCCGGCCTTCTTCAGGATCTGTCTATATTTCTGAGATGAAGTATTGTAACTATTTACATTGGTTAAACTGCTGTCTTCATATTCACAACGTTTCGGACATTGTACGCTCCGGCCTTCTTCAGGATCTGTCTGTACTTCTAAGATGAGTTATTGTAACTGTTTACATTATGTACATTGTTCGGACTGTTGTCCTCAACTTTATTGTCATATTCACGACAACAAAGAATAGGACAACAGTCCGAACAATGTACATAATGTAAACAGTTACAATAACTCATGACAGAAATACAGACAGATCCTGAAGAAGGCCGGAGAATACAATGGCCGAAACATCGTGAATATGAGGACAATAGTCTGACCAATATAAATAATGTAAATAGTTACAATACTTAATCTCAGAAATATAGACAGAAAAATATAGATTTTTAAAAATGTCTTTTTCATGATTAGCACTCTTTGAACCTTCCTTACGCTGCGATAATTTTCAGAATTGAATGTTATTGATTAGTTATCGCTTTAGAAGCGATGAA